GGAAATTGGAATAGTCAAAACGAGCAACTATGAAAATGAAATGAAACAGAAAACTCAAACTCAAACTCAAAATAAAAAGAGGAGTGAGAAAGAGTCAAAGAAAGACGTGAAAATGAATCTCTAAATAATCCATCCAGATCCAGGCTCCAGGTTCCAGCCACCCAAATTAACTTTTTTTACATATCTCAGTCACAGTCACAGCCAATAAAAATACTGCATGAAACCCAACCAATCTACAAGTAGTAGCTAGTCAATCACTATCACTACCAGACTAGACTGTAATAAGGTCTAAGCTGGAGGAGTAGACTGTAATTACCCAAAATTTGCAGTGCAGAAAATGCATGGTGAAAATAAATAGTTCAACAATTTCAGTTCAGCACAGACATCACCTACGTACCTTCCTTGTTTCAGAGTCCCTAAATTTCATCCAGAATTAAAACGATAAAACAAACAGCTAGCATGTGAAATCCTTCCTTAATTACTAACTCAATAGACTAGGTGATCCCTTTTGCTGTATTCCTTCTATAAATGTATCAGAAAATATATATGTGCTATCCTGTGCTGCAGTGAATCCAATAATAATATTATATGGATATTGGGTGGTAACATTGTATATATAATGAGAAATTGGTTTGACAGAGGAAATAACAATACAAGCGCTGCTGATTGCTGATTGCTGAATCTGATCATATCATATCATTCTACTTTTCTCTGTTTCAGCTTTTCTTTGTTTGAGCTTTTCTCTGTTTCATCTTTTTTCTGTTTGAGCAGCATGAACAGCATCCTAGTAGCACTTGTCACCTTGTTGGTGTTCCTTGGAACACAAGCCCATGAATCTGATGCCTTGACCCTCAAAATCAAACACCATCCCTTCCCCTTCCCCGGTATCCCCAACAAAGCTTCTGCTTCTGCGCCAGTGACAAGGGTATTCTCTGGCCTCTTCTATACCCACCTGTATGTCGGAACTCCGCCCGTGAAAGTCAACCTGGCCGTTGACACCGGAAGCAGTCCCACATGGGTCCAGTCTGCCCACTGTACGGAGTGCTTCCAAGTTTCGTTGCACAATTTCGACCCCAACAGTTCGCTCACTTTCCAGCCTATGCCCTCCGACCATCCACTCTGTCACGGTACATGGCTTGCTCCGATGGGAAATTTATGCAAGTACGGGATTGAATACCTCGGAAACCAGGTCACTACAGGTGACTTCGGCCTCGACACCTTCTACTTCACCACAACTTCAAACGACCAAGTTGGGCAGCAGCAGCGGCAAACACAAATCCATAATGTGGCATTTGGCTGCGGTATCATCAACCGCATCCCTGATTTCGCCGGAGATGCCCATCATGCCAATCCAATGTCTGGAATTCTGGGGTTGGGGAGGGATGATCCCACCAGCTTCCTGCCAAACAAAGTGTAGAGATTTGTGTAGAGATAAGCTAGAATATGAGAATGTGAGAATGAGAGAAGATAATTTTCTGGTTTTAGAATTCTTTCTTATATCTCACATTACTTACAATCAACACATATATATACAAGTTCCTAAGCCCCCCAAGTTAGGCAACCAACCAAGTTAGGCAACCAACCTAGT